AAACTCCAAACCTGCAAACGTCACAAGGCAGGTTTGGAGTTTTTTTCAGATCTCTGCTTCTGTGAGCGGTCGCGTGGATAGTGACCAGGGTGCGATCTCAAGAGGCTGCTTGGTGCAACCAGTGTGGGGGTTTGGCTGGGCTGCGATATAAAGTGCTCTGGTCAGCGTTCCAAACATCGGTTAAGGCTGTTTACTAGATTGCCACCACTTCGCAGATTGTTTCATTAACGCCCTGTCATGTCACCCTGGTTAGCGATAAAGCGTTTTCCATCCAAGTAAACAATCAGGAGAAGTTGAGGTTTGAAAGTTCCAGTTCCTCCAACCATTTCGTATGCCTTGATTCATCACCTATTTTATTCCTAACGTTTTTGTTCGTTCTTTTTAAGAAAACCGCAACTACTTTTGACGCTTCCTTTAAAGGCTTTGAAAATGAAGGCTGGTTTGATCCGTGGTTACTGCTGAAAGCGTTACGTGCCAAATGCCACACACTGGGTGTAAACTATGTAGTCGGTGAGGTTGTGGACTTTGAAGCCAGTCAGTACACTACCGAAGTAACTTTTCCGGACATGCCAGAACGCGCCCCTGTGATTGGACGAGCTCTCCGGGAGGCTGTGGTGCGTAACTTGGGTCAATTTCAATTCATTGTGATTATTTATTATTTTGTTTTTCTCTCAGATCGCCTTGCCAAACAGCTCCAAATCAAATATAACTTTTAGCATGGTAGTCAATGCTGCCGGCCCATGGGCTGCTGATTTGGCTCGTTTGGCGGAAATAGGAATAAATGAAGATCTGACCGTACCATTGCCTGTGGAACCGCGGTAAGCTTTTAATGAGCCGAACTGTTTACCTCTATGATTTCGTTTAATTTTAACATGGATAATAGTTTCCAAGTGATATTTTCTTCCAAAGCGAGTTTCCCAAATAGCTCTGTTGTGTTCTTGGAAATTTGAGCAGTTTGTGGAAAGCGAAAATCACAAGCAGTGGACTATGGCCAAGTGTAAGTGGATCTATAAAACTGTGATGAGTATTAATTATCGCAGTTTTTATTCTCCTTAGGCACACCGATCCGCCAAAAGAACACGATTTGAGTTAGCAAGTCCTGCACTTCACTGGTGTTGCTGATACTTTCTTACTCTATCGTGTTCCTGATGTGTCTTTTGTTTCGTTTTTTTTTCGTGAAAATCTGCCTCATTACACAATCGCTGCCTTCGTTTTTGAAGCTATTTAATACCGTTTCCTCCAGTTACTCATCGTTTTCTTCTGTTGTTGCATCCAAAAGCCTTCGATATGTTTTCGTGGTTCGACCAAAACGACAAATGCCGTTTCCTCGTCGCTCTCCTGATACAACCAGCCCCACACCACTACCCGGTCTGGACACACCCTTCCTCATTGACCCCTCGCGGTTGTTTGTTGAACGGCGTGGTTTATCTGGCGAGTTTGTGGTCTATTCAGACGATCCTCAGTGGGATATACCTCGGACTGGTGTACGTTGAATACGTTTTGGCTGACATGATTTTATATTGATTTATCGAAAAACCCGTTTTTTTAAAGGAATTCGTCATGCTCGTTATCTGCGCCTGTAATTTTATAGTTGTGCACAGAGGGACATTAAACGGGAAAAAATAAATGGATCAAGGTTGTTTTCTACCACAAGAATGTCGGCAGCCAGACTATACGGCAACCAGAAACGCAAAAATGAAACATTCACCCAGAGTTGTATCATCGACAATGGATCTAACCACGAAAAGGTATAATGCATAATCAGAGTAATGCTTGAGTCGACAAGATTAACATGTGCTAGGTGTATATCACCTCCGAATTTTTCACCCAATCTCGTGTGGGTTATTATCCACGATAAAGCACATCTTGTGTGTACGTACGTGCGTATACTACGTACATTATATTACTATGTACTATATATATTATTGTATTATATCTCACACTCGTGTGAGTCCAGACTGTGTACCTAACAAGGAAACCGGTCCATGATTTCCTGGTAGGCGGAATATTTCCTGGTTGCCCAAGCTAAAACAAGCATTTGTAATTGAAACTCATTTGTATTCGATTGAATGCCATTGACTTTTGTTCTAATTCATGACCCGATTCATATGATCGAACTGAGTTCTCATTTGCTCATAACGCGGGTAACAAATGGTGCGTGCACCATCAAGGCAAACTAACAATTGTGACCACAAAGTCTGCCTTCACCAGTTCGCTCCACAAGGTTATCTGCACTAAGTAGTGTAATGTACGCCTATTCCAGCAAAGCGGAATAGACAGAGATGTGCGACAAGAAGTCCCCCGGCTCGTGTTCTTGCACATAGAAACGGTACAAGGCTTGTCGGGCGACGGAACGTCGAGGGAGCGATGATACGGGTAATGGAACGGCTGGAATACTGACTGACAGTTCCTCCATCGGCCGGGGTTAAATATAAACATACAAGGTAAAGGAATCAAAACACCATGAACCCTAACGGTTCAATGGGATACAAGCACTCGGGATAAAATATTACTGGTCCGGTTGCCGGCAACCATTCTCGCGAACGCAGTTTGTTAAGTGTGCTAAAATAACTGAGGTTGATGGAAATCTTCATTAGAGCTTTGAAGATAACTCACCAACAAATTTAGGTTGTGAAGATCAAGTTCTCTAGTGAACTCCTAAAAAGATGCTTTTCTTTTCTACACTACCCGTTAGAGCCTCCAGCTTCGTTTATTACAACGCATGCGATTCTCGACTGCCTTTCCGGGGACACTT